GCACTGTCAGCTTCCTGGCGGGCTCAGGCACGTGGAGCTGCGAACATTAGAGACTTCGCCACAAACGGGCTCCGGCACGTGGAGCTCATCATTAGAGACTTCGCCACAAACAGCCACAAAGGCAAGAGAATTCTTGTTGGGCAGTGTATTAGTGCAGTGTATTACTTGGGCAGTGTATTAAACCTCTGGCACTGCGCTCACATGATCCCTTCCCCTTCTGGTCAATTTAAAAAAATGGCGACTGTAAATAAGAGAAGGAAAGTTGACAGTGAGGGCCGCCGCTTCCAGGACAGGTGGAAAGTGGAATATTTCTTCACTGAAATAGAGAATCACTGTGTTTGTCTGATATGCCAAGAGACTGTGGCTGTTTATAAGGAATTTAATGTCAAGAGACACTACCAGTCGAGACATAGCACATACGACAAGCTTACAGGGCACGACCGCAGTGAAAAGTTGAAGCAACTTGAAGCTGTTTTAATGTCACAACAGAAATTTTTCATAAGAGCCCGTGAGTCAAATGAAAATGCCACAAGGGCGAGCTATGAGGTGGCAACGTTAATTGCTAAAAATTGCAAATCTTTTGCTGAGGGTGACTTTATCAAAGAATGCGTTATGAAAATGGTTGAGAATATCTGTCCCGAGAAGAAGCAAGAGTTTGCCAACATTTGCCTGGCTCGTAACACTGTAGCACGGAGAATTGAAGAGATTTCATCAGATATTAAGAGACAGTTGACATCCAAAGGAGTGGATTTTGACTTCTTTTCAATAGCCTGTGATGAAAGCACGGACCTATCTGACACAGCTCAGTTGCTGATTTTTATGAGAGGGGTGGACGATGAAATGAATGTGACTGAAGAGCTACTTGACCTCCAGAGCCTTACGGACCAAACAAGAGGAAAAGATTTATTTGTTTCTGTTAGTTCCGCCATAGATGACATGAAACTGCCTTGGAACAAAGTTACTGGGATTATTACTGATGGGGCACCTGCCATGGTTGGTGAACGAAGTGGATTATCAACCCTAATCTGTAACAAGGTGATCGAAGAAGGAGGCAAAGCTATTAAACTCCATTGTATCATTCATCAACAAGTTCTCTGTGCTAAACATCTCAAATATGATCATGTTATGAAACCGGTGCTAAAGACTATTAATTTTATTCGCTCTAAAGCCCTGTGCCACCGCCAGTTTAAACAGTTTCTACTGGACATCCAGGCTGAATACGAAGATGTTTTATATCACAACGATGTAAGATGGCTCAGTCGGGGGTCTGCACTGCAGCGTTTCTACTCTCTCAGAAAGGAAATCGGAGAATTCTTGGAAACAAAGGGACAACCAATGCGAGAACTATCTGATCCTATTTGGCTGGCTGATTTGGGGTTTCTAGTTGACATAACAAAGCATCTGAATGTACTGAACACGAGTCTTCAGGGGAAAGATGCAGCGGTGAACCAGCTTTATTCACACCTCAAAGCCTTTGGGACAAAGCTGCAACTTTTCATAAGGCAGTTGTCACAAACACAGCCCAATACCATACATTTTTCAGCGTTGCAGGAAATAATGAACAGTTTTCCACAGGACAATATCAGTGCGCAAACGAGCAGGTATTCAGCAGAGATCGCATCTCTGGCTGGGGAGTTTAAACCGCGCTTTCAGGATTTTGCAGCTATTGAAAGGAGGTCAGCCTTTTCTCCTCTCCATTCTCTGTTGACCCCAATGATGCTCCAGATCAGCTGTAGCTCGAGCTCATTGAGCTGCATTGTGACAGCGAGTTACACAGTCGTCACCAACAGCTCTCTCTTGTGAACTTTTACCGCCAACTGGATAAGAGCCGGTTTCAAGAGATTCGAACATTGGCTAAGAAAATGCTGAGCTTGTTTGGCTCAACATATATGTGTGAGAAGACATTCTCTGCTATGAACTGTAACAAGAACCGCGTGAGGACAAGACTAAGTGACTCTCACCTGCGTGACATTTTGCGCATCAAAACCACTGCCTTGGAACCAGACCTAGCCTATGTGCTGCAGTCCAGATCTCAGTTTCACCCTTCACATTAGTGCAGGCAACGGGTAATTTGGCAATATCTATCTTTTATGGCCCCCAATGAATCCATATGTATTGAGATGAATACATTGTAAAATCTCAGTTAAAGTCAGTTGGTCTAAATCAGTTATAAATATATTTGGACACAACATGTATACTTGGTGTTATGTTCCTGTTCATATTTTTTGAACTTAAAAGTTGACAGACAACCTTTATTACCAATAATATGTAATGTACTTTACAATGTTCCTGACATATATTTCAGCTTCCTGGATTTTTTTTTCATCTGGCCTTCAGATATGAAAGGCAGAGTGATTTAACACCTGTTTAGATTTGTCATCCATGTGACGAAATGAAAAGTATGCCGTTTGCAATAAACTTTGCATAAAATAGTTAATTTGCATTTAATTTTAATAGTTCAAAGAATGTCAGGCAAAATGGTCGGCCCTCACGCATGTTCATTTCATCAAATCTGGCCCTCTTTGAAAAAAGTTTGGACATCCCTGGTCTAGACAGTACTGGGTCCTGCCATGAGGACAGGGGACTGGACTCGATGACCTCTCGAGGTCCCTTTCAGTTCTAGTGTTCTATGATTCTAATGACAATACCTTTTAAGTACACAGGCTGAACCTCTCTGGTCCAGCAGGACCCCGTATGCTCCTGGACCAGAGAGCCCTTGCAGCAGAGCCCCAGTGCCAGGCTGGCCTCAAAGCTGGGAGCCCAGCAATCTGACAAACCCCAGGAGAGCCCAGAGTTCATTTGCAGAGGGGCCAAACTTCCCTGGTCTGGAAAACTTCCTCCTTCGGGACCAGTTAGGTCCCAACAGTGCCAGACCATAGAGATCCAACCTGTACTCTTTAGCTTTCATCAATCTCTAACTACAGAATGAAGTATTTTACACAGACATCCCTAAAGGTCAGAAAGATTAACCAGTTCAATTGCATACCATATCCTACTAAAATGGATGGAGTTTGTGATGTTGTGTCCACATTTTCATTTTATAAACTTTTAACGTGACAGAACTGGGCCAAAAATTAAAGGTCACTGCTGTCTTCAGAAGTAGCCTTGAAGTTTAAAATAACCACACATTTCTCGTACACTGCTACAGTCTTCAGTTGCTTAACTTGGTGCACAGAAGTCACAGTAATATGTAGAAATGAGATTTAGATGCAAACAGGATAGCGTGTAATAAAGTGTTCAGGTTACCTCCCAGAAGCTATCACTAGAAACCTCTACTCCAACAGAATCATCATATGATCCAGACATTTCTGTGTTTGGAGAGCTTGCAAGTGTTCAGTGTTCTATTACCAGCACCAGATCTTCAAAATCTGTAGGGAGGAAAAAAGAAAAACATTAGTAAAAATTAAATTTACCTGTAAATTTATGATTTTCATGATTCATTTCTGCCATAATTATTAGTCAAAAAGTTAAATGTCACAAGAAAAATTTCATTGTCCCTCTAAATCAATATAGGCTTAATTACTGTTTTATTTAAGAAATCAAATAAAACCATCTAGATAGTGAACACACTTGCAGAAGTAGATATAGAAATTCCTACTCTCCAGGCACTGTAAGGCCCAATATCCCAGTCAGAAGTTGGTTTAATAAATGTTCAAAAAATCTTCTATCTTCCTGTGTGTAAAAGCTGTCCTTTATTAGTGCACCCATAATTATTTTTCCAGAAACCACCACAAAAGTAAAGATAAAAATTACAGCATTCAATACACCTCTGTTAGGTAGTACAAAACAGACATACAGGAAGCCTGCTGCAATGATCTCACAATCTAAACATCTCCCTCTTATATTACTGATAAGATGTACAATCTAACACACTTCCTAATGCCTCTAGGCCAAAATTGGTATGTACTATGTCAGGGGTAGCCAGCCTACAGCTCTGTGCTTAAAGCAGTGGTCACCAACCGGTAGATCCTGATCTACTGGTAGATCTTGAAGCCTTTGACAGGTGATCCTGACTGGTTTGGTCAGGAGGCTATCAAGCGCTGGCACGTCATCTGCCCCTCAGCACTGTCATGATGCTCCTGTCCTCTGCCTTGGAGCTACCTCCCAGCCCTGGGAGTCTCTTGCTTACTATGCAAGGCAGAGGAAGAGGAGCGGGGGGTGGCTGATGTCTGGGTACCCCTCCCTTCATCCTATACCCCATCTCCACAGGGCAGAGGGGGGCCAGGGATGGAGAGAGTTTGCTGGCTGCTTTTGGGAGTGGTGCAGGGCCAGGGCCAGGGCAGGGGTGAGACTGTTTTAGCTCCCTGCACCACCACACCAGCAGCCACCTGTGATAAACGGTGCCCAGCTGGAGCCTACATTTCAAACCCTGGCACAAGTCCTGAATCCCTCCTGCACCCCAAACTCCAGCTCTAGCCCTGAGTCCCCCTGCACCCAAACTCCCTCCCAGAGCCTGCACCTCAACTTCCTTCCCCAAGCTCATCTCAGAACCCCTCACACTCCAAATCCTTTAGCCCAAGATCAGAAACCGCATCACCCTCCCTCGCACCCAAGCTCTCTACCCCCAGCCTGATAAAAGTGAATGAGGATGAGGGAGGGAGAATGGAGTGAGCAGGGGTGGGGCCTTGGAGAAAGGCTGGGAAGGAGGCCTGGCAAGGATATTTGGGTTTGAGGTGGATCCTGGATTGCACTTAAATTCAAAAAGTGATCCCATGCTTAAAAAGGCTGGAGACCACTGGCTTAAAGAAATGCAGCTTTTGCTACTTCTGCGTATGCGCCCCAGCACCTGGAGGGAGAAGTGCATGACGGAGGCGGCTCCAGGACCCAGGCATTGGGTTAGAGCGAGGGGAGAGGGGGTTGGCGGTGCTGGGCTGGGCTCTGGGGAGAGGGCGGGGGG